CACACACAACTCCAAATCCGTTGAAGGGTAATGACAGGGTACAACAAGAGTTAACGAGCGTGCAGACCTGGCAAAGAATCAACCAAAGGGAAGCTCAGAATCCGGAAAGTCCCCTTTGATTGGATCCCCCCTGCCACTCTTTACCCCACCAGGACGCTCGGGGTGTAACCTTATGCCATCCATCGCTCAAAGGCCTGGGGCAAACATTTCCTGTGCCCTTCTGTTGCCCCGGAGATATTTCCCGAATAGAAAGCCAACTTCCTGATTAACTGCTTCTTTCAAGGAGTCCCATCGCTCTTTTGAGGCCTCTACATGAGACTCCCAAACAGGGGCATCTTCTTTGGTTCCCCGTTCGAACAGGCGCAAACAACAAGTTGGACTCATCAAACTTGCTCCCTTCTTTCAGGCCGCTTTGAGCAAGCCAATGATAGCGTTGTGTTACACAAGCACCATGTTACAAGCTCAGCTCCTCTTGCACCCGGCTGCTGTCTCCACCAGCTGCTGGCTGACCCCAGGTTACAACAACCCCCCGATTCAAGGCTGGCAGCAATCGCACGAGAAGTCGCTTGGATTTGCGGGCTGCTCTTGCACCTGGCTGCTGTCTCCACCGGATGCCGGATGGCCCCAGGTTACAACGGCCCCAGATTCAAGACTGGCAGCAAAAGCACGAGAAGTCGCTTGGATTTGCTGGACATTCCTCAGCTGCTCTTGCACCTGGCTGCTGTCTCCGCCACATGTTGCATCACCCAAAGGTCACAACAGCCCCAGATTCAAGAACGACGGCAAAAGCTCCGCTTCTAGTTGCTTGGATTCGCTGGACGTTCTTCAGCTGCGCTTGCACCTGGATGCTGTCTCCGCCACATGTTGCATCACCCCAGGTCACAACCTCGCCCCCGTGGTCCTGCAAAGCAAACGCCCGAGAAGTGGCGGCCAGTTTTCCAGCTGCGCAACCGCAAGAACCACGTCCCCACCTTGCAACCCGGCCAAGCTGGGTGTGGCGGTTGAATCACACTGCCGGCCTTTTGCAGTGAGCTTCAAGCCGCGCCGGAAATGCTGCGCTGCAGCCTTCAGTTCACTAATGGCTTTTCAGTGAGACCACCATTAAGTCTGGCGCAGCACGTTCAACTTGCCAAACACAAAACTAAGGTAACACCAAAAAGGCAGAGCCAGGGCCTTTTGAATGGCTTTGAAAGTCATCAGGAACGAACACGCAGCACAATATTCAAAAAGCCGTCTTCCAGCAGCATTAGATGTACACTATGTAAACCAAGATACCAATCACACGTGTACCGTTCCAAACACTTGCTCAGACAGAATAAAGGCATTTCCAGTCATTTGCAAGGGTCGTCTTCCAGGGCCGTCCCAGCCATCTAACCGGCATATGTTCGACTGAAGTTCCTCAGCTGAAGCCCAAGATCGATGGCTGAACCCTGGTGAGCCATGCTAAAATCTAGAAGAAGAATACCTAATCGCGGGAAGGGATCTACAAGGCTGCACGCTGCCCTCGCACAAATCCCAATGGGTTGGCGTTCTGCAACAAGATTTCCCCATCAACATATGGAAGCCGTGCTAGGGGCTTGATTCCCGCCCTGTTCGGAAACACGTTGCCCAAACGCATGCTTTGCTGTTTCATTACACTTCCTATTTCGGTCTGGGTTGGACTCGCCATCGCCTGCCGTTACATCCTGCTGGACGCATGCTTTGCAGTCTGATTAGGTTTGTGATTTCTACGTTTCTGGTTCACAAGTGTGAGAGGGGGGGCCTCAAGCAAGGCCTCTTCAAGGCCAGCTATTGGGACAATCAGCCATTGAGGTAGCGATGATCTCGGGACCGCAAGGAAATCCAACATGAGCGTTCTTTGCCCCTACCCCAGCGACCAACCCATTTTTGAGTCTTGTTCTGTTATTTACGGTTGGGATTGTCCCCTCTGAACAGGTTCCTGAGGTCCATTCAGTGGTCTCAAAATGACCCTTGAAATGGCGGTAGCATCCTATTGCTTCCTTCTGCACCTGGGGACCTGTTGCCGGCCCGACTCTCCTCCAGCCGCTGCGGCTCTCTCCACCTCAGCCCGGATGAGACAAACAGGAGGCACCCCAGTCGTCCTTGTGGACAATATTAAGGCAATGGAAATGGGTGGGTGCAAGTGCCAACCTGACACAGGCTGAGGACGGCACATGTAAAATGATCAAAGCTAATCTGAAACCAGCGCGCTTGGTTTTCAGCCACAATCACGCAAACAGGCAAACATGAAATATGAACGTCTATGGCTGGCACTGCTGTCTTGTGCGGTGGAATTGGCTGCCACGCCTCTCCCAAAAGACTGATGACAAACTGATGGGCGTGCTATCCGTTGATCAGACAGAATCATACGCCTTTTCCTTTCTACGCTGCAAAGAACCTCTGCATTCTTGCAGTATCGGTGGGAGAATGTGTCTTCCTTTGCTCTGAAGCTGCAAAGCGATGGGTCCGCGTAGGTTTCAGACATGTCAACCTCAAGCGGTGACAGAAGTCTCCAAGCTGGAAACCCAATTCTTTGCTGCTTTCGGTGAACCGTGCCTGTTGACTCACTCGCTTTACTGCAGCCCTTGGCAACATTGTGACTCGCGCTTCGAAGTATGCCAGGCTGACGCGTTCCCACTTGCCCAGAGATCTAGACATCAAAGACCAATCGAGCAAAACGAGAAACGCCTCCAACCAAAGGGGAGCGCCAAGTGGCCAACATGTAGTTTGCATGAAAACGCCATGGGCAAAGCACATCCAATGGTCAACTCAAAGCAAACCCACACCCCGCATTACACGAAAGGGCAGGCCATGCCACCTGGTGAGGTAACATAAGGTGTGGTGTTCTACGGGGAAACGTCGGGACCCTGTGAGAACCAGCAAGGAGAAGCCGAGGCGCTCCATCTCGCAGCTCGGCGCAAGCTCCGCACGCTGCGCATCTCGCCTGACGGGCTGGTGGGTTTGAGGCTCCCCGGGGCGCAAGAACAAGGGCCGCGAAGAAACTCAAACGCACAAATCGCCCGCGATCCACCGGTCGTGGCATCTGAGCAAACATTCATTTAAGGCATGAAGAAGGTCATGCCATGACATGCAGTGGGTCACACATGACGTCGTTTCACCAATTTCACCAATGCACATATCCAAACTCAAGCTTCCAAAAGCTACGCGCAACATCACGTGCATACTTCCCGCCTGTCGTCGAACTCCTGGGCCTGATGGATGTGACAACTGCCAGAGTGGAGTTGGCAATGGCGTGACCAAATCTGCAGGTAAGGCTGCGGAAGGTTACGCCACCTACGTTCACGCTGCAATACTCAACTGCAGAACGAGCACGCAAATCCAATCAAGCCCACAGCCTTTGTTTGGAAACAGGCAAGCCAATGTGCAGCTCACCCGGGCTGAACCTTAGCCCGCCTGCAAGCGCCTGTGCTTCTTCGAGCCGCCCTCCTCTCGATCAGATCGACACATGCCGATGGTGAGTGTGTGGATCGACTTGGGGGAAGGGCTAAAACCCCCGTGCTTGAGCAAACCCTTGGATAGTCCTTCCCCCCAAATCGACAGGTTGTTCAACTGGATAGCAAACCCTTGGGTGGATCGACTGGTTTCCACCGGTTTGCTAGCCCTTGGATACCGACAGCTCGTGGCGTGTCTCACTTCCCGCGTGGATGACCCAAAAAAGTTCAAATGTTTTGTTTACCAAAAAGTTCTAAACCGGTCTTGCCAAAAAGTATAAAGTCCATGAACTCAGGAGGTGAGATGTGGCCCCCAAAGAACCTGTGCCAGTCCTCGACAACGGAGCACCCAACTTGGTATGGCGTCGCCGAAGTGTCCTGACTCAGTGGAACCTCAATTAGGCTTCTCGAAAATTGTGGGCTCTTGCAATCGGCCGTCTTGAGGATTTCCATTCACTGTCCGAAAGCTCCGCTTTTGAAGAATGTGCAAAAGTCCAACCTGCGAAACAAGGCTCCCTGCAAACAAATTTCACCCACTCCACGGTGTTCAATGCAACTCCCTTGCACTAGGCTTCACCTGAGGCGCATCCCAGCTCTCTCCCAATTGGCCCCGTTGAGCCATGCCACAAAGCTGCAGTTCTACGCAAAAGGTCACTCTGCTTCCGTCGCTTAATGACCCCGGGAAAACCCGGGACCCCGATTTGGTTTCCTTCAAGGGAATCTCCTTCAGGTGCATTTCCAACACCCTGGCTCATTCCCTGAGCAACAGCAAGTTACCTGTTGCAACTGCCCTGGGCACTGGCAACCTTTCACTTGCTTCACACACAAATGCTGCCGGCGGGGAGGTTCATGAAATGGCGAGTTCCCAAAAGATCGCATCATCCAACACAAGCTTGACACATTGTCACCCTATGCCCGCTGCCGAATCATCGTCTTTCATGCTTGTTCAATGATACTGGCTTAACGATGTCATAACGCATCTCCACCGCCCTTGGCAATCCACACGTATTGCATTGGTTGTCCTCCATGTAGCAGCGACGGAGTTCATCCATGGCGGCAGCTTGCTTGCGCCGGTTATGCTAATGGAGTCTTTGTGACTTCGGGAAACGAGTGTGAGGACGGCCAATTCGCTGTTCAGGCATCCTCGTGCTCAATGGCAGTCTCTCACATAAGCTCGCCAAGTTCCGGACATTCTCAGCTGAACCCAAGCCACGTGCCTTCCAATGCTCAAAGCTTGCCGGCATATGAGGCTCACAGCTCCAGGTCCATTGATTCAAAGTCACACGGTTTCTCCAAATAGATCGCTTTGTTTTTGGCTGGTTTCAAAAGGAATCCAAAAGGAAAACAACCTATGCATCTAATGCTACCCTGGTTTTCAAGAGATGCTCCTTCCCCACCACAACACACCAACCCCCGGCATAACTTTGGAGGCACCCAGCACGACTCAAGGAACTTGAGTGGCGGGTTGCTTGAAGGCATAGCTGATCCCTATGAACTGGGCATAGCTGTGGCCAAAATGCTCACCCTGCGCATCGCTGAGGGAACCGCTCGCTGGTGCAGCAGATTCTCCTTGGAAAGTAGGAGCTACACGCCAAAACACCTTCAGGCTTTGGCAGATGTCACAGCCCATGAACAGTTGACATCAGGGAACGGAACACTTTGTCGGATCATTGAGGCTTCAACTGAACCAAACTATGGTACCCCCGGGCCCAACATGGCCCTTGACTTTGGGTCCCTTAGGCCCTCAAAAAGGAATTCGGCCAGGGGTAGGAAGGGTAACTCACAGGCAGGAAGGCTGGCATCCCCCCAGAAGAATCCAAGGATATCCAAGGCTACTTTACAGGGGACCTGAAGGGATTTGTTGATTTGATTAATTGGCATACTACCCCTGCTTCGTAAGAACATGCAGTGGACTTACCAAATCCTGCAGCAATTGAGGGTTTAGCGCGGTATTTGTAGGGTTTTGTCCATCCAGAAACTCATGGGCATGTGTCGAAGGGGGGACACCCCCAGAAGAAAGTTTTTCCTTGTGGTTGCCCTGTTCACAAAACACCAGAAAGGGCCAAAACACATACTTACTATGATTGATTCGTGTTTATTATTTTTTGGGGACAGGCTCTCTGCTTGCCGGGCGGCACTTCGCCACCAGCTGGCCAGCTGCTGCTCGTTGTGGGCAAGCACCAGCGCGGCGGCCTACGAGAGGACATCTGGCAGCTGAATTTTCATGGGGATTTGTGTTAAATTGTCTGGAAAAACTAAACACTCATCCATCCCTTCTGGCTTCCTGTTTGGGAGATTCAAAGCTATAAGCCCTTAGGCGTGCATTCTTTTGCCCTGGAACCAGCAAACGGGGTCTTCTTAAAAGAAGCTCTCTCTGAACATGGTGTTTCTTCGATTCCACGTTCATCTGCCGGGGGGTATTTTTGGTTGCAACGTGCTGCTTGCGAGCTTGTGGGCCCAACCAGAAGGAGCCCCACAATTGACCATAGTGGCATTTTGGTAGACATCATTTTGCACACCCACACAAAGGGGTTTCCTGCTCAAACTCGCCGTGAAGTTTGTCGCGGCAGGCCTCTCATCGGACCAAAAAAGAGTTTGTCTTGCGCAAACAGTGTCCTTTGCGAGGTCGCTACAAATTGCCCACAGCCATCAACTAATGAAAGGAGTACTCCCCCAGAAGTGATGCGGACCACCAGTAAAAGTGCAAACTAATTTGCTGATCAGGAAAACATTGGCAACCAAACCGAACTGGTGTGGCATCACTCAAAGAACCTGCTCACAGTCAGGATGACAGCCTGACCTTGCGGGGCGGAGCTGGGCTGACTACCCGAGTGACCCAAGCGACGTCTCTGGCCTTGTCACTGAAGGACGGCCTGGGAAAGCAAAATGAAAGCCCTTCCAAATGAAAAGGCGATGAACTGCACCTTTGGCACAGTTTCAGAAACTAAAGTGTGCCGTGTGTCTCTCTGTGTCTGTGTCTGTGTTGTGTCTGTGTCTGTGTCGTGTCTGTGTTGTGTTTCTTTGGTTTTGTGTGGTTTGTTGGTAACCTTCTTGGCTTCTTGGAAATCGGCGTAAGGCACAGACTTCGGGCAGCAAGCCCAGCAAGCCAGAGCGGTCGCGGCAACAAGTACTTTCACGGACAAGCAAGGTGTGACCCCACCTGTGCGGCTCAAAGCAGCTCTTGCGGCTAGGCTTTGGTGGTTTCCCTGAACTGCTCGGTGGAAACCATGGTTGTCATCATGCTCCAGATCCAGCTTTGCCTTGTGCTGAGCCTCGTAACCATGCTCAGGCTGCCCCAGCTGTTGCACTGTGATTTCAATGTCTTGATTGGCGTCTTGGACCTGCGGTCACATGGTCGCACGGTTCCAGGTCCAATCCAAGCAATAGCATGATGCCCATAGAGCCTACACCTGTTGATGGATTTCCGGCTTTGCGTGCGTGTGTGTGTGAGAGCGACAGAGCGCGCGAATGCCTGCGCGAGTAAGCGTGTCTGTGTCCGTGCTTCTGCCTCTGTCTGTGCTCGTGCTTGTCCCTATGCGGGCGCGTGCATGCGCATGCATGTAGTTGCCAACATGTGAATGTGCACACGGTTGTGTCTGGGCGACAAAGTACGTGCGTGTGTATGTGCATGTCTGTGAGTGTGCGCCCCTGGCCGCAAACACCCATGGCCTAATAGAATATGTTTATGATGTTGCGCGCGGTTGCGTCCTTTGTTGCTGGGTGTGATTTGTTGGCGCTTTGGTTTAATAAAGCTTCACCAAGTAAGCTTGTCCACAAACCGAGACGACGAACTCACTCGAGGGAACCCACTCGCATTTCTTTTGTAAGCCTGTGGTGTCTCTGTCTCTGTCTCTGTCTCCGTCTCCGTCTCCGTCTCTGCTCTGTCTCTGTCTCTAATTGTGGGCGTGTCTCTGTTTATGTGTCTCCGTCTGTCTCTGTCTCTACCGCTGTCTGTCTGTCTGCCTGCTGCCTGCCATGTCTGTCTTTGCGTTCGTGACTATGATTGTGCAGTCCTTTGGTGGGGATCTTTTACGTGGGGGGCGCATGTCTGTGCGCTACCTTTGAACGCGGTGACATGTCGGTCCCACCAACGTCGAGTGAGGATTGCCGAGCATGGTCGCATGTGGGCGTTTTTCGTGCATCAGTGGTCGCCTCGAGTGTCGGCCTCGATTCCATCCCACAAAATCCAACTGCCTCCCATGACCACACTGGCGAGCGACCAAGGAGGTGCAGGAGTATTGGTCTAGCATAGCTCACATAGTTTACAAAGGACGCGGAGAGGTCGAACAACACAAATGAGCTCAGTCGTCACGTTTTGGTGGCTTTTGTCCATCGCATTTTTGGCTTTTGTCCGGGCTCAGCCTCGCTTTCTTTGGGCCCCTGGCGGTGGTTCCTCTAGGCCCAGGCGGCGCAGCAGCAGGCGCCCGCCCCAAACCCCGAAGTTGTCCACCTCCATGTCCTGCGATGGTTGGGAGACCCAGGGGCCTATGTTTTACGTGGGTGCTTTGTCTTTTTTTGGGTGGGGAGGGCCAACTTTGGGGTTGGTTTAAAGGGAAACCAACAGGAAACCCGAAGCCATTTGGGGGGTGCCCTAAAAAAGGCACCCTTGGTGGACGCCTTTTGCGTTCTAGGAAACCCCGTTTTCAAGGGTCCCTAAATTCCCTCTGCTGGTTAAAACACCACGCCAGTTGTGAATTTCGCGATGTGAAGTAATGGTTTTTTACATCACCTTCTTGGCCCATTGATGGTAACCTCCCCTTGATTGAATATTTTATATGTTTTTACATGTGCGTTTTGCCCACCACATCACCCCTAGAACATCCAACCCCAAGCCAAAGCTGGCAACTGACAAAATCGTGGCCTTGGGGGCCCTAGATGTGACGCCCCCCCCCAAAAAATAGAAGAAGTAGGGGGCCTGGGGGGAAGTCTGTTGAGGGTTGCCTGTTATGGTTTTTATGTTCATCTCAAATCTATGTTCCCCCTTATTCGTTTTGAAAAGAGGGTTTTTAGGGAGCTTATTTATCGTTTTCGTTAAGGTAATCATTTGGGTAAATTGTCGCCTTGTTCATTGTTGGGCTGGGGGCAAACATTTTTTTCATTTGAAAGAGTTACCCTTTTAGTAGTTATCAAGTTCTGGGGTGTTGGTGGGTCGTTTGTTTTCTTTGACGTTTATCTCTACAATTATTTATTTTCGTTCTACACTCTTGACAATATTTATATCTTTTTCCACTTTTTACATTTCCAAATTCATCAATTGTTTTATCATAAAGGCATCTGTTGCATTTGAAGAATTCACCATAGTCTTCTGTTGCTTTTTCTTCTGTCATTCCATAATTATTCATTATAGTTTGCTTCACAACCATTTCTTAATATATCTTAACAACTTCTTTTTATGTGATTTTTATGTGATTGTCTAGCTATGTTTTATAGGTTAAAAGTTCGCTATAATTATAACATATAAGATTTTACATGTTATAATTATGGTTTAGTTATGAATTACACAGGTTCATCAACAATTAGTTTAAACCTTATGTTTTGTACTCCTCCAAAATTCATTCTACTTCTTTCATCATCAATACATCTGTATATTGTTTGATGTGCCTCCATCATTACTTCTGTTATATTATCTATGGTTATATTATCTACAAAATCATCACTACGAAAATAAAAACTAAAAGTGTTAAAATGGTTGTCTTCATAATTGAAATGATGAAACCTTACAAACATATTTACCTCAACTATTATCACTGTTTCATAACCGTTATCGGTTTCAATGCCATCTAACAAGCAATCTAAGTTTTCATTTTCATTAAAAACTATATCTTTGATGCTTTTTATGCTTAAAGGTATATTTCTTGAAATGTAATACTCAATTACGTGTCTCTTTATATCATCGCCATCTTCAACAGTATAGCGCTTTGTCTTTCTTTTTGTTTCTGTTCTGTCTATTTTATATCGTTGTTGTATTCTCTTTAATGTCTTAATATGATTATGTTTTATTTTCAAATACTCAGGTTCTCCTAATTTATATGAAATGATACCTTTTAATACATCAACAGGTAAGCTAGCACAATTCTTAACCATAAAATTATTATCTGATATTTTACCCCCACTCATTTTTCTCTTAATATGTTATGCTATTTTTTCTTTAAGTAGTTTTGACTAGGGGGTTGCTGGTCAGCTGGTCTGGGTTTCAGGTTTAATTTAAATGTCTGTGTGAGCCAGACCTTGCTGTGCGAGCCAGACCTTACTGTGTGAGCCAAACCTTGCTGTGTGAGCCTGACTGTGTTGTGTGAGCCTGACTGTGTTGTGTGAGCCAGACCTTGTTACTTGAGCCATTCTCCCCTTAATTGGGGAGTTCGCCCCCCTTAATTGGGGAGTTCGCCCCCCTTAATTGGGGAGTTCGCCCCCCTTAATTGGGGAGTTCGCCCCCCTTAATTGGGGAGTTCGCCCCCCTTAATTGGGGAGTTCGCCCCCCTTAATTGGGGAGTTCGCCCCCCTTAATTGGGGAGTTTACCCACCGTTTTCAAATCCAATGATATAACATTATAACCGAGCGACTTTGCTACTTTACCAACTGAAGAAGTACCACTAAATAGTTCTAATAAGTGCATATATTATTAGAACTATTTAGATATTAATATTTTCACATACATATCGTTGATGTTTTTCAGTTCTCTCGTGTCTTCTTATATCACATTTCCTGAAAACACCACCACATTCACATTCAATAGGTTCTTTTCGTTTTTCCAATATTGTTTCTTTGTTTTGGTGGTAGTGCTCCCTACTTTTATTACATATATGTTCTTTGTTGTTTTCTGCGTATTCCTTCCTCATATTTTGATAGTGTTCCTTATTGTCTTCCTTCCACTCATTAATTGTTCTACCTACCACACATCTATTCACACAATCATTATTTTGAATGTAATAACCTTCTCTTTTCATTAACTGTTCTCTGTTTTCACATGGGTAGTCTTCTAATAATTCAATCTTACAGTTGTCCATTCCATATTCATCAAACAACAAACGACAGTTTGTTTTATTATTCCATTGTTCTGCCTTGTTATAATTTTGTCTATGTCTTGCCATTCTTTGGCTCAAGCTTTCACAGGTGCTTCCGATGTAGCACTTATTATAACCAACATCTGTTATTTTGTAAATCTTTGCGTTTTTATATTTACTGCTATCCATTAATAACCTTAGTTATCTTTTCTTTAACGCAGTTTATAATGTCCATAAGGCAGTGAATTGAAAGCATCAATGTAAAACCTTTTATTTTCATAATTACTGAGTGATTGCTTGACTTGAGACATTGAAAATAATTGATGGTTGCGACTACGAATAAAATTATATGTTATTTCATGCTTTTTGTTTTGAAATAATGCTTCGTGGTAGTTTTGGTAAGTCAGTTCTTTCTTCACCTTGTGTTTCACTACACCTTTTGATTTCTTTTGTTCTTCTTCTTCACCGTGTATTGTAAAAGCATACGATTTAGGCTTTAACCCTATGAATTGTGTTATTGTTTGACCGTTGCACTCATCCTTGAAATAACCGAGTTTTTTCTTATTTGTTTTGTCATGGCAGGGGTGTTCAGGTGGATAATCGCTAAAGTCCATATATTGGTTTAATTCTTTGAAGTCCTTGTAGATGTCCTCAGTGAATGTTTGAATTACATAACTGTCAGTATCAGTATAAACCAGTTTGATGTTTTCATTGTATTTCTTCTTAAGAACATCATAGTAGAACTGATACATATGTAATTTACTGATGTCAAGGATTGTCATTCCTAAGAAAATCGGTTTGTCCAGTTTCAGCTTCGCTTTAGTTTTTTCAACTCCTACAAGGTTTTCATTAATAATAAATCTATTTTTGAATGTTGGATTATTAACACATTTTTCGTATCTAACTTCATTATCAACTAATTCAAAGTCCATATGATTTCGTTTGTCTTCCATAGTTTTTCCATACACAGAATTATTCATTAATTTGAATAAATCTTTCTCAAAATCGCTTTTGGCTTCTTTCCTTTTACCAGTGTTAAAATCAATCCACGGTTTCAACCATGCCCTCTGTTGAAATTTTATTATCCTATGGACTTTGGTCATTTTCATTCCCATTTTCAAATAATACTGTAAAGTCTTGATATGAACCACATATTTTTCTTTATCCTTTAGATTTAATATTAACTTACTCGTTTTCTCGTCCTTGGGACTTTTACCATCATAATATATTTTGAAGACTTGCTTTTGATAGTCGGAAAGCATACTAACATTTACATTCATTATTTCAGGCGCTAGTGGATAGTCAGAGTGGAAGTCGTGCAATGTTTCGGGATATTCCAAATCAACTTCCATAATATAACCGAACTCATCGTTTTCATTCCATTTTTCAACACTGGGCGTTTTCTTTGCCCACTTGATATTTTTTAGCGGTAATTTCTGGGACATTGCTAAACCATACAAGTTATTAGCATCCAAGTAGCTAATATAATTTGATGGCTTGTTCTCATCATATGCTTCCCCCATATACTTATTATTTGCCACCGCTAATTTATGACTGACTTGACACATTCCTCCTCTCATTCCCTTTTCAACCATCTCAAACATTTCTTGGTCATGCAATTGTTCTATTTCAACACCAGTTTTTAGAAGCATCGCGTCCCATGCGAAATTTGGCAATGTGTAATAATGAGCGGGGTCTAAACCGTAGTATTCCATACACAAGTCTCTAAAGTTTTCAAATACATCGGTCAGTAGTAAAACATCAGTTCTTAAATACAAGTCGTGATACTGCCCGAGTGTTCTAATCCCGAAGTGCTTCCATACTTTCAGTGCCCTTTCATAATCTTTATCACTTACATGTTCCTCACTTAATTTACTGTAAAACGCTTCTTTCGGTGGTAAAGCCCTTTCCTTAAATCTTTCAAAATCATCAAAGTAGTCATAGGGATAAATACCCTTATCAGTTAATAAATTCAAATCTTCATCGGTTTTAACATATGGGTTTCTAACGCTGTATCTGAAATTGTTCTTCCAATTCTCACGCTTTTTATCATCCTCATATTTACTCAACCTGACCAACTTATCCAACGAAGACGATAAGAAACTGAAACTGTCCTTGAAACAAAGATTTTTAAAACCAAAGGTTATAAACTTTTCGCTGTTCTGAGCGATACATTCTATTTTAGAATTCTTGTTCAGTTCGTGAGCCTTGTTGATGATTAAGTGGGCATCATAGTTTTTAAGGTTATGAAGAAACACAGGGATTTTATAATATCTCATACTAAATCGTAGATTGCAGTCCTCGTGGGCGCAACCTCTATACTGTCCCGTAAAGTGGCAATGGTCCCAACACTTCTTTTCTCCTTCCTCAAATTTGTTTCCACAAATGAAGCAGTTAGTGGCATTATTGAAGTCCTCCCAGTCCTTCTCGGTTTCAATACGGTCTTTGTCCTCCTTC